ATCCAGCCCTCTGGGGAGGGGCTGACCAGAACTAGGCAGGGGGTTTCTAGCCAGGACAAGTCGGGTCCATTTTCAAGGGAGCTGAAATATTTGCAGGGGGTGCTCTGAGACCCACAGCCAATAAATAGGGAAGCGACATGCTTTTGAGCAGGGTCCATGTGGTTAGGGTTGATTTTGATGGGGCTGAGGGGCTTAGAGGTAGACCCCCTGCCCTGGTCAGGCCCCACTCCCTGGCTGGTGGGGGCGGGAGGCCTCTGGAGCTGCAGCTGGAGGGGCCGGGGCAATGTTGCATGGTGTGATTAACCTACTAACCCAGGGCTCAGCTGGGACGCTGTGGCGTGTGGCGAGGTGCCTGGCCTTCTGCCAACCAACTAACCCACTAACCAGGCCCGAGCATGCCCTACTAACCACCCCCCCGCAGCCAGATCCTACTAACCATGCAGCTCATGGGCCTTTCAAGGGGCTGGGATATGGGGGCAGCCAAGGCTCCAGAAGGCTCTGCCTGTGGGCTGGGATCTTTGTGCAGACCCACGTTCCAGGACAGGGAATGCAAATAAGACTCACCAACTCTGCCACTTCCTGTTGGGTGACTTTGAGTAAGTCACCTCACTTCTCTCAACCTCAGTTTCCTCAGTGGTAGAATGTGAGTTCTGATACCTCACAGGTTGCAGTGAGGATTCCCGTGAATATAAGGATCTTGGCACATGGCAGATACTTTTTTAAAAAAATGTATGAGGGTGGAGGAAGGCCCCCCAAACCTGGTTGAACACGTCTACTGCCTAGGCCCTGGCCTCTCTGGGTGTTCTGCACACAGATCCTTCTGCCTGGGGCAAGACACTTGCTTTGAATCCCTGACTGTCACTTCCCCACATTCTTCCTCCGTCTCAGCTTTCTTTTCTGTAGGCAACTCTTTTGTTCGATTACTAACCCGTCTAACCCCGGGGTACCTCAACTGCACCCCGATCATCCCTTAACAAACTAACGGACCTGCGTGCGTTCTTCCTTTTCTCCTAGCGACTCCTGTGTGTGTCTGCTGAGGTGCCCTGTCCGCTGGTGCTGTGCTCTGACTTACTAACCCAGCCCCTACTAACCCTGTTTTCTCTTCTTACTAACCCCAGCCCTGCCGAGCTCTGGGCTCCCCCCGGGGGCTGGTCCCCCTCCTTTTGGCAAGCAGATGACTTGGGACTACTGGCCCTGTATACAGATGTCCCACTTTGCTGCCCCATATTGGCTGTTTGTAAGATCAGAGTCCACTGGGCCAGGTCTAAGGCAGGGGATGGCCCTATTAACAAGACTCAGAGGAGGAGGAGGTGGTCCTGTGGATGGGGGAGGCTGCACTCTGAGTATGACATCTCTCCTCTGTGCAGAAGTCTGGTTGCCACTGGGAGTAGGTGGGACCAGGGAAACCTCTGGGACGTGAGTGTGGAGGCCTGTGGGTCTAGACACTAGACTGTGGAGCTTTGAGCTTTTGTGTCCTTCTCTGGAAGGAAGCTCGGGAAGAATCTTCTCCATTGTTAAGTGACAAGGATAGAAGCTGTCCTGCACAGGAAGAGGGGGGCGTGTCCCACGAGGAAGGCAGGAGGGGGCGTGCCCGTCACCGGAAATTAGCAGAGGGGCGTGTCCCACACCGGAATTCAGAAAGCGGAGCCTTTCTTACACCTGAAGTCAATGAAGCGGGTCTTCCCCACGCTAGAAACCACTGAGTGGAGTATTTAGTACACAGGAAGTAGGTCAGAGGAACATTTCCCATGTTTGAAAGCCGAGAAGAGGGACATTTCTGACACCGGAAGTCAGTGAGAGGGCTCTTTACCACACAGGAAGTCAGCTAGAGAGGCCTCTTCCATCTCTGGAGCTGAGAGAGGCGGGTTTCCCCCACCGGAAGTAGACGTGGGGCCGTGACCGGAAGTCATTGGGAAAGATCCATTCCACGCACGGAAGGTAGAGGGCGTTAGTTGTCCTGTTGAAAAGGAGGGTTGGGAAGGGGAAGCAACTTTACCCCGGGCTCGGAGTTTGCAGGAGAGAGAAGTGGGGAGCAAGAAATGAACTTCTGGGGCTCACAGGGTTCCCGCAGCTGCTCAGGCCTGCCAGGAATGCATCCCTGGCTTTCTGTTCCCACCCACGTCCCTGCCTCAGCCAGCCTCCCCCAGAGCCCGCCAGCCGCTAAGCCAGGGCCACACCTGGGGGTGATTTCATGCCTCACCTCCAGTAGGCACCTTGGTTTCTTTGGGTTAATCTCTGGCTCCCTTGCACTAACTCTTGCTGTCACCCAGCTAATCCCTGCCTCACCCTGACTGCCCCAGGGGCTGACCACTAACAACCAACCTGGTGTGTCTGAGGGCTCCAGGCTCCTGGCCTGGCCCTGACCGGCTCTTAATTAACCTTTCCTTCACCTTTACTAACTCCTGCCTTCCTGGTCTGTTCCTTTCAGCAGAAACTAATGGCTTGTGGATTTCTTTCTGACTAACAACAGGTCTAACATTCCTTGTTACTGTTAATTAACAGCTTGGATGTCGGCATGGCTGGAAAGGGGCTAACACCGGTTTGAACTTGACTAGCACAGGGAAAAGTGTAGATAATTTTAAACGTGGTGGCTGCTCTGAGTCGGAGCAATCAGAAGTCGGTAAAGATGGTAGTTTTCTAAGGGAGGTGCCAGGGCTCAAGTGTGGACCAGGCCTGATGGAGCAAATGGTACCCACCAAGTTGGAGTCAGAAGTATAGCCAGTCTTGCAAGGTTTTGGCCATTGGACGTGTCTTTACTCCTCGTGATCTGCATTTGGTTTCAGTTCTTTAAACAATATAGCCTTATAGCTCCAATAGTTTGCACAAGTAGATGCAGCTCTTATAAACCTTAAAATACCTGTCTGGTGTCTACAAAGCACATGCCATTTTGTATAGAGTCTCCCGTCCCCAGGCCAGGGCCTAGAGTCTTCGTTTGGGGACGTTGTGTTTTGGAAACTCTAGGACATAAAGCGTTAGATCAGAGTATTCAGAAGGGTTATAATTCCATCAGTCGTTTACATGTTAGTAGTATAAACTGTCTGAGCTTCCTCTTCTAACTTTTAGCTCTTTTAGCATAAACTCTTCTGTGCAATTTAGCTGCACCGAGGAAACGGGAGTTTTTCTGGAAGGGACTTTTGATCTCTTTAGACTGAGGGAACGTCCTTTGGGAGTAGAAGGGCAGGGAGCATAAGCCAGGGATTCCAGGTGCAGGTAAGAGGTGGCACTAGGTCAAGGTTTTGCTGGCTCAGTCTGGAAGTCAGAGTCTGTGGGAGAAGACAGCTCAAGGCAGGGCCTGGAGGATTGGATCAATTTAGGGATAGGTCAAAGGCTGGCTTGGAGGCCTTACAGGCAGGTTGCTTGGGTCATTGAATCCTAGTCCCGTGCTGAGGGCCCTTTTCTCTAGTAACTGTGGACTCAGAGCTTACCGATTGTAGTTGGCAGTAAGGGCTGAAGGATGATCCAGAGGCTTGAGCTGCAGAGGGCACAAGAGAGAAAAGATGTCTTAGGAAGAGCTCTGAGAAGATGCCTTGGCTGCTGGCAGGGACCTTGGATGGGGTAGAGTCTACACCCAGGAAGTGCCTGCCTGCCACCCTCTAGTGGCTGCCTTACCCCATTTCACTCAAAGCAGGAAGCTCAGAAACACCTCCTATTCCTGAAACTCCTCTTTGTTTAACTGCAAAGATTTGATGCTGCTAAGGACCTACTATGTGTCAGGCACTGCTCTGGGCGCTGGGACCTGCACCTGGGCTTTTTCATCATTGTGCTTTTAGATCCTAGTGGGAGAGTTGGTGAAGTAGATAGTGATTCAGTGAGATGGTGTTATGATGGGTCAGGGGACTTGGGAACACGCAGGAGACAGACAACATTGATGTGCACCTACTCTGTGCCAGTCATGTGCCAGGCATTGGGGATGTAGTGGTAGTTAAACACCATTTGGTCTTTAGGAGCTTTAATTCTAGTGTGTTGGGTGCGTACAGGGGGGTGGAATGGGGACAGAGAGACACCTAATCCACCCTGGGGTGGCTTTCTGGAGAGGCCTCTAAGCTGAGCTCTGGCTGGGTAGAGTGTGGGTGGGGTTGAGTTCCAGGCAGTGAGAGTGGTGGACACCAGTTTCTGGGGATCAGAGAGGATACAAAGAGGTTCTGGAAGGTTCATGTGGAATGTAGCAGGAGATAGGGGAAATGTGCATGGTTCCGGGTCTGGTTGCCAAGGAGTTTAGATTTTAACCTTAGGCCTTGGGGAGCCATGGATATGATCTGAGAAAGGGAGATAGTGGATTTGAGTTTTAGGCTGGCCATTTGGCTTTTCCAGCCCAGGTGGAACTCAGAAGAGTTTGCAATGGGGTCTGGCCACATTTTAGCAGAACTGGCCACAACTGAGCAGGACTTTCTGAAACTAGGAAGACCCTTTGGTCCACCTTTTGATGAACAGAATCTGTACATGCCTACCCCGTTGGAGGTAGCTCTGCACTGACTGGAAAGTAAAGGGGACCAAGGCGACAGTAAAGGCTCGGAAGGGGAGCAATCTTGAAAACATGTCATCCCATGGTGGTGGGAAGCCCCTGGAGAAAAGACCAGGGGAAACACAGTCATAGGCTGCAAGTCCACAAGAGAATTCCGCTGGGGAGGGAGCCCATTTGTCATGCATGACTGCAAGGGGGGAGATACAAGTGTGGAGTAAGCTTGCAAGAGGCTGATCCTGGTCCCAGAGAGGGAAAAATATGCTTTGGTGGGTAATGAACCTTTTGTTCCCAGAGGCAGAAAGATTGGGACTAGGCCAACGTAGAGATTGGCGATGGTTGTGAGATTCAAGGAGGGTGTGTGCGCGTGCGTGCATGTGTGTGTGCATCTTGACAATATTAGAGGAGGCTGAGCCCAAGCAGGCACATTCTCTTCAACCCCTCCCTCATTCAGTCTGCTCTTGAGTCTACTGAACATCAGGCTTGCTATGAGCAGGATCTTAGAGCTGAGGAATTGGCCTCCAAATCTGAACAGATGTCGTAATCCTTTCTTAATAGGTTGTGCTGTGGACCCAATGTGAGGGCTATGCTGGCGTACATGGTGACATATTGAGCTGGGGGATGCTCTCAGGGTGGGGGACTGCTTCCATCCCAACAAAGGCTCTCTTGAGAGTCTATCCAGGGACCCATTGTTTTACTTTAACAGACCAGAAAAGATGTTTGTTTTCCATGTCATTACTTCCAGGGGATGCTGAATGTGAGGGCAGAAGTTTCTCTGTAGATTAAAAATCAGATTTTTACTTGGATTCAGCAAAGGAGTGTCACCTGGATTTTTGTTTTCACCCATGAATGTGGCTGCTTCTGTGTAAAATACCATAAAATACCATTTTGTTATTAAAACTCAATTCACACTGGAAACATGACTGTAGCGTATGAAGCAGAAGGGACGTGCTGTTTAGGGGAGAGGGGCAGTCAGTCGTGTTTTCAAGGAGCAGGGGTGGGCTCTCTCAGGGAGTCAGCCTTTCCTCAAGAGTGACCCTGGAAGTCAATATAATGGGGTATTTTATTTTTTAATTTTGGTGAAATAATCACAACATAAAACTTAACCACCATAATAATTTTTAAGTGAACATCTTAGTGGTATTAAGTACATTCACATTGTTGTGCAACCGTTATCACCATTGGTACTTATTTTTCTTTTCTTTTGTTTAGAGATGAGATCTTATTATGTTGCCCAGGCTGGCTTTGATCTCCTGGTCTCAAGCAATCTTCTTGCTTCAGCCTCTTGAGTAGCTGGGACTGCAGGCTTGCACCACCATGCCTGGTGGCATTTTTAAAAAATAACCCTTCTTTGTGCCTAGGGCAGTGCTCTGAGAAATCCAGGTTTTCATTGCTAGGGATCTTATATTTCACTGGGGAGGCAAAGAGTTCCTTGGTGACAGAGAAAAAGATAGAGTTTAGTGTGTGGTCAAGAAGGACTGGCAAATATAAGCCACACACATTGCTGCTCTTCCCTTCAGTATCCTTGACAGACATTGCAAGTTGATTGCCTATCTCTCTTTGGGAACTTGGGTGCATTTTCAGGCTCTTTCTCAGAATAGTGTTCTGGGCAGCCAGGTTTTAAAAGAACTTTGGAGTCAGTCTTAGGATTGAGACTACTGATAAACATCGGTTTGGATCCCAGCTTTGCCACACACCTGTTGTGAGATCTTGGGGATGATTCTCCTCCCCTGAGCCTCCATCTGCTCTGTAGAATGGGGAGACCACTCCCACCTCATAGGGCCATTGTGAAGGTTCCCAAGGGTTCTTGCAGAGCTGAGACAGGGCTTGATGCCCTGCAAGTGTTCCCTGAAACCTCATTCTGTGTTATCACCAGATGATGGCATTGGGGGCCAGAGGTGCACTGTTGGAAAGGAGGTCAGGGGGAGGTGAGGTGAGGGTGGGGGCAGTAAGGGATGGCTTTCTGGAAGAATCGAAACTTGAGGAGAGCCTTGAAGGATAGGGAATAGTCAATCAATTAGGAGAAAATAGCGATGGTGGTGCAGGGCATTTTGGAGTGGCTCCTCCAAGGTTCACTGGACTGGTTCGGTAGGAGATGAGGATATTGATAGGATATTGGGGCGGGGCAGGGTGGACACTCCAGAGGAGGTTACAGACTGAGCTAAGAAGTGGAGGCTGGTCTGTGCAGCAGTATTCAAGGCATGGTAAGAAGCGTTGGGAATCTCCCATGGTTGGCAGAACTTGTGAGCCCCCCTGCCCTCAAAAGACTACAAGACCCCTAACAAGAAGAGAGCTTCCTCCCAGTCCTCCTTTCTCTTCCTCCTCTCCCTCCCTCTGTTCACCCAGCAGCTGTTTACTGAGTCCTTCTTGTACAGTGGGCACTGCCCTAGCCTCTGGGATGCCTGATTGCTGGCCTTTCTCT